TGGTGGCGAGCGCCGGTGCGCACACGCGTGTCCACGTTCGAGTGCGGGCGAATGTGCATGCGTGTGCGCAGCTTCGGGGTGTGCGCGCGTGGCCCGGCGTCCCGTGAAGAGACGGGCGTGAGTCGAGTCAGTGATAAGGATGCCTCTCTGTACGCACCCCTGCACGCACGCCTCTTTTTCTCACCTGGTCTTCCTCAGTCTGTCCGTGGGTCGCTGTCGGTCCCGCTTGGGTCAGGGGTCAGTGTTTAGTGGTTGTCCCCCGCCTAGAGCAAAAGCCGCAAAATGGGCGTGGTGGGGTCCTGGCATCCCCCGCTCCCTACTCTGGGCTCCTTGCCCCTGAGGGTGGCAGACTCCCCTCCCTCCCCCAGCCCCCAGCATTGGATTGAGAGCTTGGCAGGGGGCACCCTGAGACCCAAGGTCCTGGCCAAGCCGGTCTTTCCGGACAGGGTGATTTTTGTTTAAAGATTAATGGTGAGGCCGAGCTCTTAATTATTCGTCTAGGTGGGAGGTGGCATGCGAGGCGTGTTAATATTTGATAAGGAACTGAAGGCGCTTTTAGCAGCCGGGCACAGGGGTCTGGAACGCGTAGGGATCTGGGAGGCACTTCTCTGCGACACCGTGGACACACCACAGGAGGATTCCATCTGCCAGTCACAGCCCAGCTAACTCTGGGGTGCTCCTTGGGGTCCAACCTGGCCAAAGTTCCCCTCCAAAGTTAGTACTCCGGCCCTCGCAATTGTAGAGGGGGGGGGTGGGCCCTGGGCCGCAGAGAGGCCCGCTGGCCTGGCCGGGTGGAGGGTGGGAATAAGGCATCTCACAGCAAAAGTCTTCCTGGCCCCTTCCCTGGGGAAGAAGAAAGAGAAAAGGTAAAATGTGAACATTTTAATTTGTAGAGTAGGACGTTTGTCATCTCCTGAGCTGGGTTTAGTAGAGAAACGCTTTCTAGGTAAGGCAGGTGTTTTGTAGCTGACTGGCCTTGGGTAAACCGCCTAAGCTCAGTCTCCTTTACAAAACAGGGGTAGCAATTCCGACTGGAGGTGTTGTTTTAAGGATTAAATGTGATAACAGGCCTAAGTGCTTAGTGCCTGCCTTGCCCATGGCAGTGTCATGTGGCTCTACCACTGGCCCTTTCCACACGCTGTTCCTCAGCAGTGCCAGGGCTTCCCACTCAGCCTGGGGAGGAGTAAGGCTGGAGAGTGAGCGAGTGAGCGAGTGAGCAGCTGCACTTGCAAATTCCTAGAGCAGCGGCTCCCACTGAAGAGGGAGAGGAGGGACCAGCAGTTGGCTTAATGGCTATGTCGCTGGACTCCCATGTAGTTGACCGGTGTTCGAGTCCCAGACCTGGTGGCTTAAACTCAGGCCAGGCGTGTGTGCGTGCGTGCCCAAGATCCTGAGAGGAGAATGGAGGAGAAGGGATTGTGGTGCGGCCATCCTCCCTGGGGGGTGATTTCTCACTATCTCTCTGTTTCTCTCTGTCTGTCTGGCCTTATATCAAAAACCTCTCAAAAAAAAGAGAGAGAGAGAGAGAGAGAGAGAGAGAGAGAGAAAGGACATTTGGCCCCTTCAAGAGCCCCAGACCCCTGGCCAGGAGTTGCAGAGACTTTGCTCAGGACTCATTTGGGTTTTGCTGAGCTGGTTTTCAAGATTCTCCCCTTCTTTCAGTGTGGGAGGGTGGGGTGAGCAAGGTCCATTAGAGAGAGCTTCTGCGGTCACCTCAAAGGAAGGTGGGGGCTGGAGGCTGGGAGACTGGCAAGGGTTTGTCCATCTCTAACCCCATTTCTGGTCAGGGCAGATGGACTGAGGAGCTTGGAACCAAGCTCTACAGACAGCCCCTCTCCTTCCAAGGCCCTTGTCCGAGGTAGCCTGAGGCAGCCGGCAGGTAGCTGGAGGTAGCCTGAGGCAGCCGGCTGGTAGCTGTCTGCAGGGGTGGCCGTCTCATGAAAGAATCATGTCATACAAGAATCCCAGTGGGTTGGTGCCACTGTCACCTCCTGACTGAGAGCCAGTACCTCACCCCACGGACACAGATCTGACTCCTGGCCTCATCACCACTATGCTTTCCTGCTTCCAGTCTCCTGAAGAGGGTAGTTACAAGAGTGTTCAGCCAAGCAGTTCAAAAGTCTCTGTGATTAAGACAGTGGATCAGAGGTCACCACTACAAACCCGGGAGTCGTAGCCAGAGCCAGGAAAGAGCACATTCCTAAGAGAAGTTAAGCCTGAACCAGAAGGGCCCCTGGGGAGGCTCGCAGGGGGCTTGGCCGGCAGAGCTGGCTCCCTCGGGATCGGGATCGGCTTGGGCTCGGGCTCGGTTCGGTCTCCGGCTTTCAGCGAGGCTTCTCCTGGAAGAGCTGTTCTTTGGAACTCCCTTCTCTGACTCCACTGAGAGAAGCCTGACCCTCTCAGGGCTGCCTTCCCACCCTCTCCCCATCCAGTGACACTTCACCTTGCCCAGATAGGAGAGGAAGGGCCAGCTGCACCCGGTGACCCCTTCTGCCTTCAGGACCTCTCGAGAGTGTGGCGACAGGAGGATTCTAACAAGTCCTGGGAGCGCGGAGGCAGCGCCACAGCCCAGCCAGAGGGAGAAAGAGCGAGCTGGCTCTCAGACTCAGCAGAGCCAGGGCTGGAAGACTGGGCTTCCCAGCTCCGCCCACCTCCACCTGCAGGAAAGGGCTGTGGGGGCTCCCCAGATGCGGCAGCTTCCAGGGACAGCAGAACCCTGTCCTGGACACCTCTGAACTGGCGATGCCAGCATTGGCCTAGAGCCGGGGACTCAAAAACCCAAAGGGCTCTTGAATTTGAGAGGGAGGGTGACTGGATCCCTTCCCCCTCCTCCACCACCCAGAGTTTGACCTTCTCAGAACTCCCTCCCCACCCTGTCCCCCTTCTGGGACTCCACCCCTGGCTCAGACTCCAGAGGAGACTCGGTTGGGGTTGGGGAAGCAGCTCAGGCTCAGAGGTGTCAGTTCAGCTGAGCGGGGAGCAGGGCTTTTCTTAGAAATTTCCTCATGGCTGAATTTTTGCCAACTCACTTCACTTCTCTCCTCCCTCTGCCCCTCACTGCTTTGGCCATCTGCTCACTGACAGGAGGCCACCAGAGGGAGGCGGAGGGAAGGATTTGTGTGTGGATGGGACTTTACTAAGTGCCACCTGGAACTCTCTGTACCATCCCTCATTTAATTCTGTCCACAGTCCTGTGAGGAGACTATGTTAATGCCATTTTATAGATGATAAAACCGAGGCTCAGAGAGATGAAGTGACTTGCCTCTAAACTCATGCTCCTAATTGGTTCACCTAGAATTGTAGCCCTGGAGGGGATGGCAGGTGGCATGATGGTTAAGGGCGCTGGACTCTCACATAGCCAACCACAGTTCGAGTCCCGGACCTGGCCTGGTGACCTTGCTTTCTCACTTTCTCTCTCTCTCTCTCCTCTCTCTCACTATGTTCATCTCTGGTAAAATTAAAATAAACAAATAAAGTTAAATATATAATAACTCTTAAAAAAAAAGAATTGTAGCTCTGGAAGAAATGCTCTGTCCATCCTGTTGGGACAACCTTTCATTTCATTTTAGGTTTTTCCCATGAGGCATGTGCACTCACGGGACAGAGAGAAAGAGATAGTAAGAGAGAGAATGTGAGAAATAAATCCCTTCTTCCATTCTCCTCTCGGGATTTTAGACCTCACATGATTTTTCAAGCCTCTGGTCTGGACCCAAATCGTGGCTGGCCATGTGGGCGTCCAGTGGTTACCACTATACCACTTGCTGGCCCTTTTTTTTTTTTTTTTTTTAATAGATTTCGTTTTTAGAAAAGTTCTAGGTTATAGAAAAATTGAGAAGAAAGCACCTCCACCCTGCAGGCAGCTTCCTGTTTTTACGAACTTGCATCAGTGTGGTGCCTTTGGGATATGGCCTGTCTTTAATGTCAGGTTTTTCTGTCCTAAGGCAGAGCTAGGAGAGTTTAGCCAAGACCAGGAGGGCATTCGCAGCAGACGCCCAGTCTTCCCCAGCATCTCAGATGAACTCTGGGAAGGCAGGCAGTCTGAGCCCTGGTCCTTTGTCCCAGCAGAAGGGAGGAAGGCTCTACCCCTCCCCTCCCCTCTCACCTGAGCCTCTCAGGAAGGTGGGGGCTGGAGGCTGGGCGACTGGCAATGGTTTGTTTGACTGGCAAAGTGGGGAGGGGAAGGCTGGTGCGGAGGCCTAGCCTCCAGGCCACAGAGAGAGGGGGAAGGGAGGGGAGAGGACAGCTTGGGGAATGGAGTGGAAGTTTCAGAGGGACCCCTGGAGGGCCTGCAGGTGCTTTGCCTGGCCAAGTCCAAAGAAAAGTGCTCAAGGCAAGATGAGCAGTGAATGAACCCTGGGTCGTGGGTGAGGGATCCTCCTAAGATGTTCTATTGTCTCCTTCCTGGGGCCCTAGGTCCTGCACGACTTGAACAGTCCGTGTACATCTGAGGGAGGGCTCCAATACCAGGGATGTTCCCCTCCTCTGGCACACACGCAAGCATGCACACACACACACACACACACACACACACACACACAGTTGCTGGTGTGCACAGTTCACACACAGAGATGGAAGTGCACACAGATACGCCGGCACGTGGGGCTCAGGCCTCACACGCTTCCTCTTTCTGCTCCAGAGACCCATTGGTGCTATGAGGTTCAAGCCAAGGCCAGTAGTGACTCTGCCTGCTTGGGTGAGTACAGCCAACCCTGGGGACAGGACTGTCCTGGTCCTTTCCTCATGGTGGGGACCATTCAAGTGGAAATGGAGACCTGGGGAGAGTGGCAGGGTGAGGGGTGATGGTGGCCCTCCCCAGTCAGATATCAGCCTCCAGCACACACACACCACCACTCCCCAGTGCTCAGGGAGCAGGGACGTTGAGTGACCTGTCCCCGCTGGCACCTGCTGGTCATCCTCTGCAGTCGGCCTCCTTCAGGCCCTGCGGTTTCAGGGACTGGATGGAGCTGCTCCCTCTGACCTGCCGCCTGGGTGTTGGAGTTACCAGGGTGGAGACTCAGGCCCTTCCTCCCTCCATCCTATGCCACACATACTGAGGAGTCCTTTCCTAAGCAGCCCTCCCAGGGATCCCACTCACAGCTTCCAAAGCCTCTCACGCGCACCTCCCTGGGAAGTGGGCTATCGTTGAAGTTCCCATTTCACAGTTGAGAAAACCAGGGTGCAGAGAGGCCAGGTGCCCAGCCTTGTGAGGCAGTCCCTACCTCAGAGCTCACAGAGAGCTAGACTTACCGGCTTTGCATGTGCACATGTGTGTATGTCTGTGGAGGAGCGGGAGGAGGAAGGCCCAGGGAGGACGGTGAGGGCAGAGTTCTGAGCCAAGCAGCCTACCTTGCCTTCCATCTCTCCCAAGACCCCTGGTACATGCGTGGTGCTCCCAGAGGGGTGGAGGAGGCAACAACAGTTCTGGGTGCTCCTGACTCTCAGTCCACCCTCCCTCCCTGCTCAGGGCCAGACCAGTGGGGTGGCAGTTGCCAGAAGGACCGCCAGTCCCCTATCAACATTGACACCACCAAGGTGAAGGTAGACTCAAGCCTGATAAGCTTCTCCTTCTCTGGCTATGACAAGAAGCACAAGTGGACCATCCGAAACAATGGGCACTCAGGTGGGTCTCAGCTGGGCTAGGGGGGCACCGGGCAGACAGCACAGCCACCCCTGAGTTCCTGGTGGCCTAGGCAGGAGGGGCTCCCCCTGAGGACACTCCAGGCTCAGGTCCATCTTCGCTGAGAAGGGGTCTGAAAATTCTGACAGGGTGAGGGTGGAGAGGGGAGGGCTTGGAAGAGGAGAGGCCTGGGCTGTGTTTTCAGAACTTTCCTCAGACCAGCCAGGAAGTGGGGAGGGAAACATTCCAGAAAGAAGGAACTGCATGTGCAAAGGTGTGAAACAGCTTGGGTATTGGGGACTGCTGATGGAATGCAGGGGAGTGAAGCTGGGAGGAGCTGGAGAAGGCCCAGGCTCAGCTGGGCAGGGGCCCAGGGGCAAGCCCTCTGGGGGTGGAGGTGTTTGGACATTATCCTGAGGACACCAGGGCAGCATGAGGAGGGACCAGAGCCCAGCTGCGTGTTTGGGACAGTGCAGGGGAAGGCCTGCAAGGAGGCCAGTGAGGGAGCAAGGGAAAGATCCAGGGCTGCCAGCCATGTCCATCCCTCCAGGTCTAGAGCCGGAGCCGTGGAAGGGTGGGGGGGGGGGGGAGAAGGT